TTCTCTTAGCTTTTATTGCTGAGCAGATGTTATATAGTATGGAATATCCCTTTGATCAGTCTGGGTCAGCTGTCCTGGCTATGTCTCCTCCCAAGATCTTCCCCACCCCCAGCCTACTGGTAATGGAGGGGAAACACTGGTGTGTTACCAGCATCTTTCTAGCTACCAATACAAAGCACAGCACTATGAGGGCTGCTATCAGGAAAATTAACTCCATCTCAGCCAGACGCAATACATATATACAATGTCCACAGGTGAAAATAAAGCCCGATTCAAAGGAAAACAGGCAGCCTTCTCTTGCTGGAAACTTGAGAGTCCTGCCAGTAGTCCATAATTGCCCTCATACCACTTCCCTCATGCACCTATAAGAATCATAGAGTGGTTTGGGTTGGAAGGGACCTTTAAAGGCCATCTAGTCTGACCCCCCTGCCATGAGCAGGGACATCTTCAACTGGATCAGGTTGCTCAGAGCCCCGTCCAACCTGACCTTGAATGTTTCCAGGGATGGGGCATCTACCACCTCTCTGGGCAACCTGTGCCAGTGTTTCACCACCCTCATCATAAAAAATTTCTTCTATCTAGTCTGTATCTGCCTTCTTTTACTTTAAAACCATTACCCCTTGTCCTATTGCAACAGGCTCTGCTAAAAAGTCTGTCCCCATCTTTCTTATAAGCCTCCTTTAAGTATTGAAAGGCCGCAATAGGTCTCCCCAGAGCCTGCTCTCCTCATAGGAGACGTGTTCCATCCTTCTGATCATTTCTGTGGTCTCCTCTGGACCTGCTCCAACAGGTTCATGTCTTTCCTGTGCTGAGGACGCCAGAGCTGGACGCAGGGCTCCAGGTGGGGTCTCACCAGAGCAGAGGGGCAGAATCCCCTCCCTCGCCCTGCTGGCCACGCTGCTTTTGATGCAGCCCAGGATACGGTTGGCTTTCTGGGCTGCGAGAGCACATTGCCGGCTCGTGTCCAGCTTTTCATCTGTCAGTACCCCCAAGTCCTTCTCTGCAGGGCTGCTCTCAATCTCTTCATCCCCCAGCCTTTATTGATACCAAGGGTTGCCCTGACCCAGCCGCAGGACCTTGCACTTGGCCTTCTTGAACCTCATGAGGTTCACATGGGCCCCCTTCTCGAGCTTGTCCAGGTCCCTCTGGATACCATCCCATCCCTCAGGCCTGTCAACTGCACCACTCAGCTTGGTGTCATCTGCAAACCTGCTCTGGGTGCACTCAATCCCACTGTCTATGTCACTGATGAAGATATTAAACAGTACTGGTCCCAATACGGACCCCTGAAGGACACCACTCATCACTGAGCTCCTCCAGACCTTGAGCCATCGACCACTACCCTCTGGATGCAACCATCCAGGAAATCCAATGAATTTTATATTACTGGCATTTGCCACCTCCTGGACTTGCTCCTTAAGATGTTCGTATTTTCTAACTTTCTCGGCTGCTGCATCAGCAAGTGATGATGGTTTACTCTCATATCTAACAGTTAAGTCCACCACAAAAGCCTGACCTCCCTTGACAAGTATCGGGTCAGGTTTATATCATTCATTTTGATGATCTTTTAAAGTGGCTCCTGAAACATTACCCATTCTTTCTTTTTAGCTTCCTCTGCCAACAGTTCACAGAGTTGGTTGTGTCTCTTTATTCTAGCATCTTAAACCACAGGGCAATATCCAATAATAGGTTAGCAGGTCTCACTCTCTGCTTCACAATGCTGACAGTTCTTAATTTGAGTGTCCTGCCTATCCCTTGCCAAATACTCTCTCTTGGGGTAGGCGCTAGCTCTTAATTGTAATGCAGTGATGAGCTTTCTGTGAGGAATGCCCCTATAATAGTCAATCCAGTTACTACTAATTTTATCCTTTTCAAAGTTGGTAATCCCATGGCCCTGGGATGGCAACTTGGTCCAATTCAAAAATTTCTGCTTTCGCCAGTCACAGGGTCTTGGAAAGATGACCTTCGGAGCAGACATCTCCCATTCCGAGACTGGTTCCTCACCGCCCACAACTTCCGAAATCACCATGACTGCGCTGGGGTCCCAAACAGATGGTCCCAAATTTTCTCTTTATCCCCACCTGCTGCAATCCATAGTTTTTCAAACTCTTTCTCTATACCTTCTTGCCGGACAACAGATCTTATAGCGTCGTCCGATGACTGAGCAATTCGGTGCCTGCACACTAGGAATTAGTCCAGAGAGCCTGGTAATACCCAGCCCTCCATCCCGAGTGCTGGAATACAGGATGGTATCACAGGTACATCCAGGCAGATATAACCAATCCTCGACCGCTGCTGAAATTGCCAAATCAAGGGTCTGTAGGTATGTGGCTTTCACATCAGCTTGGTCTGCTAAGTAAATCAGTGGTGGGATAGTATATCCCTTCAAGATGTCCACTTTCTGAAATGGCTTCAAAGGAGCCTGCCCAATCCACCTTAACCATTTGTTCAGTTTTTCTAGTAGTTCCAGCTTAGATATTCCAATCCATACATAGTCCCAGGTATTTTTCCGAACTTCCTGGATCAATCACATTGAGGGGTGTGCCATTTATTGTCCATGCCAGACAGTCGTTGATCATGTAAGAGTCCTTCAGAGGCTGAAGCCATGGCACTTCTCCCCTTGTGTTTTGCTGCCTGTCAGATCGCAAAAGACCTCTAAAATTTCAGTATTTTTCTGTATTCTGTCCCAGGATTCACTTAATAGGACCAAGTTGTCTGCAAAGACATATCCTACCTACTAACTAAAGGGGTAACCAGTCCGGAGTGACCCCGACAAGACTTGTGTTATTTTCTCTTTCCAGGAACGGTACCGGGAACGATACCGGCATGCCTCCCTTGGAGAGCGGATTGGTCATCAGAGGAATATTCATGCTTCTCACAGAGGCAATCATTGCCAACATGGACCAGATCCAGTTTACACTTCAACACGCCCAGTGCGCTGGCTGGAGGCCCTCACTTCTTTTATTTGTGCTAATCAATATGGTAACTGTAGTACATTCTGCATCATACATGTTTGTAATTCATGGAAGTACAGAAATATTGGGAGAACCAGCAAAAAAACCTAACAATGATAATCACTGGTAATCACAAATTGTAAAAGCAGATAAGAGTCACCTTATTTCTGCTACATCAGGTGACAGAATCTCTATTGAATGTAATGTGACAAATCATTCAAAGGCAAACACCTACACGTTCATCAGGAAGATACATGAAACTCAGTCAAAAAGCGGAGTAGGCTGTCCCTCGCACCCGAATTGTATAATTACTTTCCTCTTTAATGACACAACTACAGAAGCAGTGTGCCTGTGGACAGATAAAGGGAGAGATAGCGAAAATGGACTATCCTTAAAGGTCACGCTAACATCTACTCCCAGACCTCACACTATACCAACAACTACCCCGACTACCTATCAACCTACTCCCTATTCTATTACTCCCACAACTGACCAAGCTACATATCCACAAATTTCTGCAATTGGACCCTACGCTATTAAATGTACAGGACAGCAACAAGTCACATTTAACCTGTCATGGTCCCTGAAAAGGGCAGAACTGTCCATGTGTACTAATCTGTATAAGAACACTTTGTGAAGCCTTAATTGTTGATAGAAATTTTACCCACAATGTGTCCAATCATTCAAATGTATGTGTTTGTAACTTTGTAAACATTACTGGATGTGACTTTAATTACAGAGCCCCAGTGACTTCATACCCACTGTTAAAGAAAAACTACAAACTGTATCAAGAGCTTTTACCTTCCCCCATCGGAATGAACTTGATGCTGTTTCACAAGCTACCGAAACATAAAGACTTACAGGCCTCATTACAAAAAGTACAGCAACAAAGCAAAAACACATTGATAACTGTACATCACCATGGGGAAGAAATGCACCGTATACTAGGCAGAGTAAAGAAGGATGGGGAACGTCACTGGTGGGAAACGCTATGAGGATGGTCTCCGATGGCAACAGGTGTATTGAACGCCTTGTTACATCCCACAGTAATAAAGTTTGCCCTTCTGGTAGTTTGTATTGTTATTATTGTCTTTTTATATATTTGAGTCAGGTTTTTGGCCTGATCAGTATATCTCATTGTAAAACATACAGAATAACTTGCTACTGACTGTGTGGAACTATCTTATAATTAACCTTAATTAATTTTGTATTTATTGCTTAATCCTCCAGTAGACAACATGATGCTATTGCCGCCTCATATTTATAGCACAGAGGCAAGAGGTGACCGTACCACCACTCTGTGAAGTAAAGTGAATCGACTGTAGTCACGGGGTGGAGTGTGACAGATGCACCCACCCTGACTGAGGGAACGGCACTTTGGCTCAGGCATCACCCACGAGTGGGCCTGACTGAAGTCAGCCCTGCTGTGCAGACCTTGAGAAAATGTGCTAGGCCATATCTGCTCAGGAACTAAGTAATCTAGGGCATGTCTTATCAGGAGCTAACGGTGCCAGCCTGAGCTGGAACTAGATGAAACTAAAACTGCTACAGCTGCACAGCCGCACGTACACCAAAGGGGGATTTGACTATGAGTAAATCACTTTACGCTACAAATATCTGTAGCCCCCCAAGCTCATTGAGCTCTCCTGAACGGCAGTGGGCTGCACGGCGGTGATCTCCCCTTGGGCAGGACGCCTCTCAAGGTTAGTCCTCGAGACCGAGAGATCCCTTACCCGGCATCTGTTATCTCCAGAGAGGTAAGCAACACTTTATATTAGATCTAAAGCATACTGTGTACAAGCTAGCTGAATTATTAGAAGTGCAGTAAGTAGTAGAGTGTTTGGCTGCTGTTTAATTATCGTTTCATTATCATTTAATTAGTTTGATTACTGTTCAACTACCATTTAATAATCATCACTTAATAATTAACATTTAATCATCATTCAATCATTGTTTAATCAGTGTGTAATAAAACCTTTTGGTTAACCCCACAACGACTTCTCTTAACAATTTGTCTGCGACAGCCCTAAGTAAACAGTTCTCAATCACACAGTAATCACAGGCTCACCTATATTGAAAAGTGTAATTATTACAGTGGATAGAAAGTCTCACCTGAGTGCTTGGAACAGGATACGTCTGGTTAATTTCCACCAGAGATGTAAAGGTTTCTAGAAATAAATCACTAAGGCTTTGATGGATCACAACATTAGCTGCATTGCTGATGGGAGCACGGAGCTTTTCTCGGAGCTCCCCGTACTCTGTGGAGTTCAACCTGAAGAAGAAAAGATGGAATGAAATGTTACCTTAATTATCTATTCAAATACCTTGATAGTACATTGCAGAGGTTAACATCAGAGAAGTGAATCCACGGAAGAGTTATTTAGGTTGGTACGTAGTCATCAGAATAAATACACAGTGAGCTTTTGCTTTCTTTTGCTGTTTAGTTGCTGGTTTTGACACAACTTAGACAACAGAACACGCTGTTCTCCTTCATATCTGTGTCAGATTGGCGATAGGATATGCCAGAGGGAAGGCTTTTGAAGTAATCAACGTGAACAAAAGCAATACAGGCACATAAATCATGCATTAACTGTAAAGTACTGCATGCACAATTTCTGTCCACCTTCTTAAGGCCTATTTACTTATATCTAAATTCTATAAATTCCCGAGGACAGAAATTAGTTATATCAGGTGATGTATCACGTGGTGATATAGTACATGTAAGTATCAGAAGAATGTCAATCAGTATCAGTTTCTGTGATTTTATGATACAATTTTAGATAAAACCTAAATTTCACAAAGGTTACAAACAGCTGCTGGATGTGACTTACACTTTGATTTAAGGCTGTAAGAAGCTGTGTTTCACACTGGGCTGCTTCTGCTAAAATAAGTGTCTCTAAGTGAGGCCCACAGACCTCAAGGGGCACATGAGACCTCGTGCAGATCCTGTAGGGACACATTACTGTTGTTGCCCCTTTTTAATGCAACAGTTCTGAACTGCAGATTCAGAACTCCCCAGCTCAATGTTTCCACTCATTGAACAGCTTGCATGGAGAAGCCCTGGGAACATCGCCCTGAAATTCCTCGTTCTTCCTACCACTCGCTGAGTTCCTGGAGCTCAGTACAATGCAACGCTGGCTTAGCTTTAGCTCCCGGTGGTCTCCATTGTTTTAACTATTATAGGATAATATTGTTTGTTAACAGATACTATCTGTGCAAATAATAGAGACCTTTCTATGCAGAATAAAAAAATCACCTTGAACATGCAGGGAAATGTGGCCTGCCTACACAAAAGTATTTTTCTTCCAGAAACATCCCACTGTATCCAGTTCTGATTCTGGATATATACAATGATCCTATATCCTTAATAGGGGAATTTTGTCGTATGGCACTTTTCTTAAATCCTGTATGACTGCATTCTAGCAGAGATTTGCTATTTCTGGCACATCTTATTACACAAACTTTTAAACAGTCTTCTCAGTGCTGTTCTGTTTAGCCACAAAATAAAATTTTGGGGTTTGGATTTTTTTTCCCTAAAAGGAATTGCCAAAGAAGCCATGATTTTCTCAGCTGGGGATGCAGTTTTATCACTCTGGCAGTGAAGCACTTACAGAAGAAAATCATTAGTTGTTTAACACTTATTTGGTCACCACTCTCACAGGTCTATAAAAGTCTCCTCTTTTCTCAGGATTGTCACGCTGACCTTAACTAACCTCTCGTTCTGAGCTCTGTTGACCTGGATATCTAACACAACCACCTCTACGCCTTCCTCATACTTGCCAGGACCCCTCCGTTCACCTACAAGTCCGGTGATCTGCCTGCTTTTAACTACCTAATAAATAAATGCTGCTGACATACAACTTTACAGCAAACAGACACCCAAATGCCTTTTCAAACATATAGTTGTAGGAGCACCAGCATGGCTTTGTGTACTCCTTCTAATGACACAACAACAACAAAGACTTTAGCACCATTCTAAGTAGTGTAACAGGTTTCTGCAAAACTCGTACTTTTGCCTAGCTACACAGAGAGACTGCTGAACAAAATAGCACGGACCCTTGGAAAACAAGCCCTAACAGTTCACGGCACGTGCTCTGATTTACTGCTACAAGAACACATAAATCAGAAATGGACCAAAATTACTTCCTTGCTTTAAGGGCAGTTAGCTTGCAGTAGCTCAGCGAGAACTCTTCTGAGCAGTGACAAAATTATGAGCCTTGAGCACAAGAAGGAAAAAAAAGTCATGGGTGAACAGCCAGTTTTAGACAAATAACTATTTCTCCTCCCCCAAAATTTGTATGACCAAAGATTCCCCCTTTCATTCCTGTTCTCCATCTTTCACTGAAGTTTTTCCAGTTACTTCTTTCTGCATGCAGCACAATCCTCTTCCTAAGAATGGATCAAACAGGGCAGTCCCTCTGTTTAACCATTGTGCATTCAATACTGTAGGTGTATGAATCTTTCTAAACAACCTTTCTTCACTGCACTGCATGGCAGAACTGCGCATACAGCATCTCTGAACACCAGGCAGGGAGCAAAAAGGAAGGGACAAGACCCAAGGAGTCTTCATATCTGCACAAAAGCACTCCATTAGCACTATCAAATCGCATATATATAACATAACAGGGTAGCTGTTTTACCGGATATCAAACGCCTTCACGTAGGGATTAATACTGGCAACACGGATGGTGAGGAACTGCACAGGCATATTGGAGTCTGGGGTGAGTTCATGCTGTCTGGAGTCTGTCACTGTCAAATGAATGTCCTGCTGCTGGGCAACGTGTAAACAGTAGGTGGTCACTTTAATCACCCATGTGTCTGTAACAATAACCCTTGCTCCTGGCGTTCCAGTAGCAAATTTGTCGATTCTCCTAAATTCTGTGTTGATGGAAGAAGCTACTGCCCTCCAACCCGACTGCGGGAGAGCATGAACAGCGAGCGTTCGGGCTAACGGATGATTATTCCAACCTTTCCGTGACCAGTAATACGCCAGGGCACTGGTGACTGCCGGAAAGAGAACAGCGAAGAAGAAGAAAGTTTTCCATCCTTTTGAAGCCAGGTAGAAAAAACAAAGATGTTTTTCAGGTGCAGCAAAGCACATACCAAGGTAATAACCTGCAAGGAGAAAGACTTACTTTCAGAAAGTGATTAAGTACATGCATAAACACATACCCTGACATGTAGTTGTCTAGCCAGTGAGCTCACCTCCAGGAGAGCTACTGTACTTCGGGATGAAAACTCAAATTCAAGGCTCTTGTCCTAAGCAATCTGAGGTAAATTCTTACCTGTCACTGATTTTTTTACCAGAATTACGTAGCTAAGTGAAGCTAATTTGAATTTGCGGGTTAAATAAAATTACCTGTAAGATGACACTTAGTTTTGGCAGAATTATAAGCTAAAGGAAGCTGATCTGCGTTCGCTGGTTAAATAAAATGCTGTTCCTTTGTAACTGCAGGTACTCTGATGCAGCCAACCAGTTATGAAGTTTAGGGTGTACATGACAAAGAAGCTCGAGAGATGCTGAAATACCCTCTTTCCAAGATGCACGGTGTAACCTGCTTCACCCAACAAGCGGCCCCGCTGAGGAAGCCCCTCGCTCCCGCCATGGCCGCGGGTGACAGCC